CCCCCCCCCCCCCCCCCGCCCCGGCGTCTGAGACATACAACACTCCACTCATTGCGGTCGGCGGCATGGCCTTGGGCGCTTTGCTTGACTTGGAGGTGGAGGTCTCCGCCTTTAGGGCGGCAGCACCCCAGAGGTCATCCTCCGAGAGATCCTGCAACGATCACGGCGTCGTTGAAGCTTGCTTGATCAAAGCTACACTTAGCTGCCGTCTTCGAGCTGCGAAAGCGACAAACCCAGGTCGAGTGGTTGTTGCTGGCTGTTGCCTCGAAGACCACACCCACGGGAACGCGCTCGCCCCCGGGTGGCGGTGCAGCAGCCAGATCTGCCAGAGGCTTCCTGTCAACTTATGGAGCTGCTAGTGGTTTAGACTTTAGACCTGGAGAGCCTTGCAAAATTCATCTCGGGAAGGTGAAGGCTATCCCTTTACAAAAAGAGCTTCAGCGGCGCCAGCAACAGACACCCTCCGCCTCCGACTGTGCTAGACTCCCCAGTTCAAATTTTCTCGGCACTACGTGACATCCTCCCAGAAAAATGCCAGCAAGCTGCTGCTGGCTCTCAGCGAAAGACGGGGTAGATGTCGTTTGATCCTCTACGGGCTTGCTGCTGCAACACACGCGGCCAAGGAACGGATCCGACTCTCAAGACCTCGATAGAGTCATGATACGTTGGTGTGTTTTTATGTCTCGCACCGAAGCAACTTCCACAAGCCTGCTTGCATCACAAGCCAGTCAAGTCTAGTATGAGATTGAGCGGGCTCTTTGCCGGCCGCAGTCCGAGTGCACTTTCTTTGCAGTATTGCGTAGCTCTTCACTGCGAGCTTCGGTGCCTCTGAGCCGCCTGCAAATGCAAGCTGGGGCCAAGCTACGATGGATCTCGTGGTTGGGATGCTGCCAGTGAAGACTAGTGCGGCCCGACTTCACTACATGCGAGCACACCACACGGGGATTACAACGATATGTGTCAAGGTCACAGAGGGTGCTTCAGAGAACAAGTAGACAGAGAGCAGATGAGGCTGAGGAGAAACTGTGACTGCTTTGAATGCAGAGTTCGACACACCGGAACATCCGCCCCCGTCAGTCCGGCCTTTATCTCTAACGAACTATGCCTCAATCTGCCAAAGTCCTCGGGAATTGCCGCATACTCAGCTCGCGCAATTTCCCGGAGGCGAAGCAGATATTCACTCCGGTGCATCTCCTCGCAGTTGGGACCAGAGATGTCACATGATTACATAGTATATGCATATTGTACCATACTACATCCTGCATTATGTCGCAATACATCCTCATACTACATCATTGGGCTTGACGCCAAGCTGCCATGGCCACCTGCGGCTTGTACTGCATCATCGGGGAATGATCCGCGCCGCCGAGGTCCCAAAGCTCGAAGCCGGCACGGCGCAGGCATTCCTCAAAGATAGCATTTTGTAGTATAATTGCTATATCATATTTTTGCATTATAATGGTTATATCATATGTTATCATATAATATGGAAAATTAATAGTATACTAGATTCAGTGTAACATAATAAAACGGTAGGGTGCGCTTTCTTCTCTGGTTACTGCTTCCATCGGAGACATCCAGGCAGGAGGCTGCCTCTGCGTAGGCCAAGACGAAGCCAGGCTGCAGGGTTCGATGTTTGCCTCCAGAGGCAGGTTTAGGGTTTAGAGTTTAGGGTTTAGGGTTTAGGGTTTAGGGTTTAGGGTCTAAGGTTACATTTCTCTTCATGATCATTAGCATCATGAAAGTATATACCACATTAGAATTATCTCTTGTATCATATTTAGATTTTAGCACTCGCACTCGAAGCTCAGGCGAGGCATGGGGTGGTCTGTAACAACGATCTGTTGTATTCTAACCTACTATACATCATGATAGGCACAAGTGCAAAAGGTTTGGACGCACCATTGTCGCCATCCTTCGGCCGAAGGACGATCGAAGAATCGCGTGGCCACATAGTAAGCGCGGCCGAAGGTATGGGCATGGCCGAAGTCCGCTGCGATCAACTGGGGCTCTTGCCCTTCCTGCCAATGAACTGACTGTGATTCCAAAAAATGTGTGGGTGGTTGTCAAAATTAGGGTCCCTTTTTGGGTCCTTATTATAATACGGCACCTACTATTTAGGGTACCCCAAAAGGGACCATAATTTTTGACAACTACCCAGTTGGCTGATGCTTTCAAGATTGCTGGAGTCTGCCGGCCTCATGCAGCCAGAGCTCGAACCCAAACACCCGCTTCATCTTCCTGCGCCCATCAAACCCTGATGTTCGCATGGAACCACTGCAAAATGCACAGAGTTTGAGCTGAGGCGCTGCATAACATCCCAAACAGACTCCAGAGCAGGGCCGACCCAACTGTCCTGGGGCATGTCTCAGCAGGAACGGCTGCACACCTTCTGCCATGCGTACCCTCTTCTGCCATCTGCAGTTGTGACGGATCAAAGCGTGTCCTCATGATGCTCACGCAGGGCATTCAGCGCCTTCCGGCAGTGTCGCTGGATGATGGGCGACTGAACTAGCAGATGCAAGCTCTTTCCTGGCCTTGGTGAAGTTTAAGTTCACGCAGAGCTTCAGTCGCTGGCCCTTCTTCCGGGCAGCCCGCACAACACGACAGACCTCGTTGAAGGATCATTTGAAGGACCAGCGATGACCCCATTTGCATCGGTTGGTCGCTGCTGCATACCAAGAGTCATCCTTCAGTCGATCACGCCGTCGCTTGTCCTGTAGAAAGTCCTGTCAAGTCCGCATAGGGATATAGCCACATCAGAGGCATGTAGCAATGCAGCATCCTCATGCTTGTTTGCCCTACGCCCCATGTCGGTATGCCACCTGCTTTATGTCTTTATGTTGTTGCCAGAAGAGTGCAAGGTACCGCTTTAATGAAGTCGAACACACTTTTCTGTCAGAGGCCAAACCGAAGTACAGTCCTATGCCTATGCAACGAGAAGACTACCACAACTTCAGGGCACACGAGTGATGCTGAAACCAGCCGCCACGAACACCCAGCCTGTTGAGCGTGCAGTGGCAACGATGCACGAACCCGATCAAGCAAGGCCACCAGCTTAGATGTTTCGGAGCCATCGCCTGACACAGCTAGTTGTCAGCTCTTGCGGTTATCATCGCACAGCAGCCAAACGCATCGCTGGCATGTAACAGGGCTGGCGCCTTGTGAGGAAACATAGCCCAAGCCCAAACTCAATGTACTGTGAAGCGTTGCAAGGACGCCGTCAACCCCTGGCTCTCTGGAGTGGATTTCGCAGGGCGCCATGGGGCTACCAATGCCTGGCTGGTCGGAACCGATGACACAAAAGTCTGCGAGCCAACCGCCCAGCAGCGTCTTCTTCATCCAGGCGGCAAATTTGCTCGTCAACAAGGCTTTCAGTCCAGCGTGTCATTTTCGACTGGGCTATGGAAAATGTGGCCTTGCAGAGGCTCACAGGAGTAGTGAGGTCTGACATATTCGGCACGAGCCACTTCATCATCACATCTCTAAAGAGATTGCTCTGCTGCCAGGCTGCAGTCTGGAAAGCTAGCTAAGAGACCCCACCCAGCTTGAAAATGCGGCTAGAAGCTAGAAGAGCACATCATCGTCATCATCATCAGCACCATCATCATCATCATCATCCTCATCCTTATCCTTACCCCCATCCTCATCATCATATTCGGGCTTACTAGGACGCTGATGCTACTTCGGTGGTAATGGTGGAAGTAGTCTCGGGAGAGTGTGATTTTCCTTTGCTCGTCCGGTGAATTTCACTTGGACTGGGCGCACGTGCGTGCCTGAGGTGGCAGAGTGGTCATGGCTTCGGTCGTCTCCGCCCGGCCGTGGCCACCGGGGCCATGGAAGGACTCGGCCATGGAGGCCTCGGAAATCACGTACAAGCGCCACGGACTCCACGAGAGGACGCTCTCTGTAACGGAGTTTTCAGCACTCACTCTCGACAAAGCAGGCGAGGCCTCGGTCCAACTGAGTAACTTCAGCTGTAACGGAGTTGCAGTAAATGCAACATGTACACGGACGGCGGCGGCAACATGTCCCCCTTAACCGTCTCCGACGACAGCGAGCGGAAGAAAGCCAAACACGAAATCCAAAGGGCCATCATGTCCGCAACATAGCCGCCACCTCCTCCTGATGAGAGCTGTGCTTTTGACAGAAGGCATCGGCGCATCTCACAAGAACGGCATGGTCCTCTCATCTGCTGGAACGGCAAAGGGTGCATAGATGAGCCCTCCAGCATGGCAGATATCTCTGAGCGAAGTCCACCGCTCCATCGCTTGATGAAGTCCTGGATCTGCGAATGCTCACGTGGTTGCTGCAAGGAACCAAGTTTGCCAAGCCAAGTCTGCTGTTTGGGCTGTCCTGACCCTTACCAGAACTGTACAAGTCAGCCACGTGGGCATCTGCCGCAAGGACCAGGCGCCGCAGCGCTTGCTGAAGCTCATCGCGCTTCGACACGGAAGCTGCCTGAAGGGTACAGCTCACGGACAAGCAAAGCCGAGTTCATAGACTCTTTCGCGGGCATCTATGATCGCCCTGCAATGTGCTGTGATGCTACCCTCCATGCAAGGCAAGCCTGTCAACAGCACAAGGCTAGGTGGAAGTCACTCTTGAACATCAGAAGCGCCATCGCGACTCGTGCAACTCTGAAGCTAGCCTTCGCAGCTGTAAGCCCGAAGACGAATCATTCGGAAGACCCGGCCCTGTGTTAAAGGAACCAAATACCGCGGGCCTATCTGAGCCCGGTGCTTAGGGAGGTGCCCCGCCTCCAACCGAGCCCGCTCGAACGACATGATGCTCTGGTAGAAAGCGCTGCTTTGCAGATCCTGCACAGAAGTTGGTGCTCGCTGCGCTGCACCAAAACCAATGAAACGAGGTATCCCGAAAGCCGTCAACTAACCCCTAAAACATCCTAAAACCCTCGATCCCAAAACCTGGGCCTTAAGCCCTAAGCCCTCGGCCGATGCCTGACCAGCCGGGGCAAACATGTCCATCAGGCTCTGGCCCAGGATGAATGCCCGTACGCAACCCACCGCCCGGCCCAAAGCGAGGGTGTCCTGTCAGGCGTGAACTTGGCCATACTTGGCTCTTGCACGCAAGATGAAAGGCCAACCGCTCTAAACTCGTTCCTGTTGCATTTCCCATAACACACAAACTGACAAGTCCATGGTTGAATTCACCCTGTACAGCTTTCAAGTCTTCAGGTTCTCCTTCGAACTGACTTCGCCAGTCAAAGGGGCCCACTTGGGGCCAGTTCACTGCGCTTTGGCACGCCGGTCCTAAGTCTTAATGACCTAACGACCTCCGCACTCTCCAGCTGCGTTTCCTCAAGGATGCCCTCGACCAGGGAGGGGATTGCTGCAGGCTGCAAGCAGATGGCCGTGTTTTGCACGCTCGAAGCGGCACATAGACTCTATCGACTCTAAGGGAAGAAACGTCTTCTCATAGCTATTCGCAGAGACTGCGACATTCCGTGTTGGGCGCTGGACCCGGACCATGCGAAGTGGATCAAGCTTCAGAGACTCAGCTCCTGCCCTGGAACCAGGCCTGCTAAGGTTTCTGCTTGGCTTAGCACCCCAGGACAGGCCTGGGAACCCCGAAACGCCACGGCTTGCACCCCGGCTTGGAGCTCTGGTGACTCTGGTGGTCTCGATGCTCGGTGATGGCCAATCCCATCTTCCCTGTGCTTTGGTGCCTGTGCCAGCTGTGGCTGCTCGCTGCGGGATTTGTGCCATCGCCATGAGCCCTCTGTCAGCCCCCAACAAAATGCCATTGCACGTGGCCGGGCGAACTTGATCAGGGTGGCTGGACATCCACTTTGCCCTCTGGTCGTATCTCTCCCTTTGCTTCGGATCGGACAAAGTGTCGTACGCCTCCCGCAGTGCAGCGAAGCTCTCGGCTGCCCACAGCTGCTCGGACTCGCTCGCCAAGACCACCTTATCAGGGTGGACCTTTAGAGAAGCCCGGCGGAAAGCGCGCACGATCTCCCTGGCAGTTGCGTCCCTCTGGAGTCCCAGAATCTCATAGTAGTCATCACGCATATGGAGCACGGGAGTTGGCCATGCAACTCCGGCACGGGCTGGGTCAACGCCCTCTTCGCATAATTTGTCTTGAACCGAGAACATGCAGGGGAAACGCAGGGCATTTCAGTTGTCATTCAAGACACACTACATTGGGCATGTACACAAGTCGAAACCATCTGTTTCTGGCTTCAGGGTCCTGTGATTCCAAAGCCTTCGACAAATTCTTCTCCATGCGCTTCTTTGGCGATGACAAGGTGGACATCAATGACTGAGCCATGAACCCACCTGACAGCATGAGTGCAACATAGCTGTTGATCATGCTTTCACCAAAGCATACAGTATACAGCATGGGGGCCGTGTAAGTATGCTACATATCACGACGATGATATTGAAGGTCTCGGGATCAAGGGTAAGGACTGACCCTCCTTGTGCAGACCAAGCCACCGGAGCCATTTGCGACGGCCTCGAAGCGCTCATCCAGAGCGACTAAGAGATTGAGAATGGAGTCTTCGAGGTCAGATGTCCAGGCCCCATCCCAGACCCAATCGTACCTTTGGAAAGCTCACGCGAGTTGTAGGCATGGGCTGGCAATGCGAAGCAAAAACCGCCTCATGATGACTGTCGCTGTGCCCCTCCAAGTTACGCATCGTTGAACAAATCAAGAGCTTCGCCATACTCTCCCAAGGGAGAGCCTGGGAGCCAGGCTCTGAGCTACGACGACCGATGCCCCAAAAAACACTGGTCAGAAACAGAGTGTGGATCCCCCTTACCGTGACGAGCTTCTCACCATGAACCAGCAGCGCTCAACCTCTTGGGCACTGCCGCTACAGACCCGCAGTTCGTGCATGCCAAACTCTTGCAGCAGAAAGCTGGTCCTCAGAAGGTGCCGAGATGTGCAGCGCATTCTAGATGGCTGCGTTTCGAAATCTTCCAAGTGTCGGGTTGCAGCCTGTCTGAAGCGCTAGGACCTCACCGGTCGGAAGGACAAGTCCGGCCTGCAGCACCTGTGCAGTCCGGCACCCGGCTCAGGAACGGAACATGGGCGTCGTTCTACACGTGTGATCCGACAGAAGGAAGCCTCATTAGTTACATTCCATTTTCCCGTTCTCATGTTCGCTGCTGTTCAATCAAGAGTGCTTATTGTAAGTGCTAAGTCTGTTCGGAGCTCCTTCTCGCACTTCGCCAGCTCTTCCAAGCCAGTCATCGACAAGACGGTGCCGACATGAGGTGGGCTCTCTCCGCCCTCGAAGATGACCTGCAAGCAAGCCACGGGGTGCTCGGGGTAATTGAGGGAGGGAGACTGAGGGTTTGATGATATGGGGCTTCGAGGGCAGGTACAGGAGAGTCGAAAACAGCTCGGGTGGCCACCGCAACAACCAGATTCCTTCGCTTCGGCTACGACGGCTACGAATCAAGGGCTTTCCTGGCACCTGCAGCGACCCACAGCCATCTCTTCTCGTCACCCGGCAGCCACGGGTTGGCAAATGACCAAACCTGCGTGCAAGAAAATTCCCCGGTGCGTCGTGACCCGACTTCAGAACGGCAACAGGAATAATGCAAGGCAAAGCAACTGATCCTCTTTGCCAGCGACGGCTTCTCGCTCCATGTCCTCAGCGTTGCATCCTCAGAGAAAGCTCAGCTCACTGGGAGCTCCTGAGCCGCTGTCCGCCAAGGCAGCCAACGCATCATCCGCCAGGCCCGAACCTTCCTCGCTCGATTCAAGGAAGAGGTTCAAGGCATCGGCCTGTCACGGCTCTCTCTCTCTCTCTCTCTCTCTCTCTCACTCTCTCACCTCACTCTCTCTCTCTCTCGGACCGTTGCGGTGCTTTCCTGTGCTCTTGAATTGTACAAACGCTCTTGAGTTTAGGGTAGCTTTAGGTCTCCTAAAAAGCCCCTAACTCCCTGCCTCTACGTGAGGAAATTGCCTCCGTAGAGCTGGCAGGCCTCTCTCGGCTAGGCCGAGGCCCAGGTCTGGTCGTGCCATGACCATGGCGGCTCGAATTCAGCTTGATCTTTGGAGAGAAGACTATATTTTCAAGCTACTTAGCATCAAGTCGCTCGGCTAGGCCGAGGCCCAGATGGAATAATGCTATTTAAGATCGTTAACATAAGTAAAATTGCACGTAGCTAGCGATGCTTGTGGGCTGCTCGGCAAGCACGGGATGACATGGGCTGGGGAGGCCAGAAATCTGTGGAACAGAGAAACGACTCGCTTCACGATTAGGCTCAAGTTACAAACCAACCGATTGAATCATGAGGTGACATATATTCTGCAGTTGTTTGAGGTGGGCCACGCCATGACATGCCTTCGCATTGAAGCACCTGAACGGTAGCAGAGTACTTGGACGAGCCCTCTGACCTCCCAAGAGATTTCATCCATGAGCTTCTCATGCTTGATGCGAGCATTTGCCTCGGAGAAACCGTGCTCAGTCGTCAGCAATTTGCGTCTCCAGGTCCGAGGATTCCGCGAAGGCCCAGGCAGTTCTCGACAAGTCCTGAAAAGAGCCCATCATGGCAGTTTCTGGTGGACCCGGCCTTCCCAGCTTCGATCATCTCCTGTGCGTTCATGTCCTGCACTTTGGCCACCACCGTCGTTGCAATCGCCTGTTCGAAACTTTACCGTAGAGGACAGCAGCAAGGCATGTGGCATCGGCCCCTCTTGGACAAAGTGCAGAAGACCATTTTGCGGCTGTTTGAGTCCGGTCGGTGTCAGTCCATCGTGTCCAGGGTCCTCGTGCCTGGCCACAATGGCAATTCCCAGCTCCGTGCGCCGGCTGGGAGCAGGCGGCCCGCCATACAGCAACGACAGGAAATCTGCAAGAGCTGCACCTGATCCAAGCATCCGCCTTGCTGCTGCCGCCTCCTCCCGCTGCAGCTGCCGGAGTGTCTCAACGCGGGCCCACAGCACCTCCGAGGATTCGTGCTGTGTTCCGTAGTTTCTAGTAGCGACGGCGGCCACCTCTTGGTCGGACTTTGGCATCCTCGCCCGGAGTCGCCATGCTTCTGCAAGGTCTTGTTCCGCCTGTGGAAGGTCTCCACTCTGGAGGAAGCACGTCCCACGAGCGTAAAAGGCCTCTCAGAATCAGAAAAGATGCCCCGGAATGAAAGCAAGTGGAACTTAAGCAGATTCACCCTGCGCCTGCCAGGACTCGGGGGAAAGCCGGAGCGCTGCACCGGCTGCCGCCATGCAGCGCTTCAGCTCTCTGCGTTCCAGGTGTGCTAGGCAAAGCCCCAGCAACGCTGCCACCACTGAACTGGCGAAACGGTATAGACTCTCTCGAGACTCTACGTAAATTTGTCAACGCATGCATCATGCCGCGCCTCTGCAGACTCGCTGGAGTGGAAAAAGCCTCCTCAGATCGCCACCACATCGCCGATTCTTGCAGCATCTTGCAGAAGGAGTTTGTGGATCTGATCCGATCATTGCTAAGGAGCGTAAATTTGCAGGTGGTCGGGAAGTCTCTGTGCACACAGGCCGCGTAGGCTGTCCCTGACCTTGGCTCGAGAGAAACTCCAGGCAGCAGAAGGGAAACGGAAAAAGAAAATGGCACACAGCCAGAATCAGCCAGACATGCCCAGGAGGTAGGTCTGTGTCTTGTCGCGTCCTTCCTTTTCTTGAGCAGGGGCTCCAGCGCACATTGCCCTGAGCCTTTCCTGTTCCTCTAAAGCTAGAAGCCTTCGGCTGGGTGTGCAGCGCGGTCTGTTCTGTTTGTTCTTTCGCTGCTGCTGCCCATACCGATACATTGCAGGATCTCAGAATATGCCAGCACATTGGCGGTCACAGCCCATGCCAAATGCCTGCTTCTCTGCTGCTGTGCTGATGCCGGCGAACCATTCTAGCAGTTGGGAGTCCGACGCCCATGCTCTCACCGGCTTGCAGCAAACCATCCTTGGCGAGACATGGAGACAGTCATGTCGCCGCCGTAGCACAGTCTACACAAGCCGCAGGCGGTTCTGTAAGAACCAACGGCAAGCATCCAGCTCTTGGCACATCTGGTATCGTCCTTACACTTCAGCGAAGGATGGGCGCCTTGTGATGTGTGACACCATCAGTCGTACAATGCCAAGCTTCGCCTTTCATGCTGATCTTTCGAGGCGTCTTCCTCCTGTGATCATAACGACTGTAAGAAACCGGAGTGTCAGCTCGCAAGGTCAAACCCAACCTCCTGGTTCGATACACCTTGTGCTTCCACAAGTGCCCGATCAAACGTCTTGATGGCACCATCGTACTTCTTTTGTGCGAGCCTTCGGGCAGGTCCAGAGATGAAGAAGACATTTCCGTGACTGCACATGATTGCCACAGACGACTCAGGCGAAATCATTGAAATTCAGCTGCTATTGCATCGGGGGTGGATGGAGCAAAGGAACAATAACAACACCCACAGAGGCTCCCACGACGTCCATCACTGCAATAAGAACAGCGATGACCGTTGCAATAATGGGAAGGTAATGCACTGCTCGAAGTTGCAGGCCATGCGGCAGACTGTTGCCGAGCGCAACCAACTTCTCCACGTTGCCCTCCTTGCGGAAGCTGTCATTCTTCTCACGGCAGAAGGCCGCCATCTCGCCTGTGAAAAAGAGAAGCAAGAGAGGGAGAGAGAGAGAGAGAGACAGAGGCTTTAAAGGCTTAAGTCGAGTGTCCAGCCTGTCATGGCTTTGATCTCTGGTGTTGCCAAATCGAGCGGTGTTCGGCCCTGCTATCGAGAGACCGATGAGCTGTCCTCTTGTCCGTGCTCAGCAAAGTTCGACCTAACTCCGCCTGACAGTCTATGGCGTCGGGATCGGCTCTTGCTTGCAGCAAGCTTTCAAAAGCAATGGCATTTCCTGACCGATTGCTGAAGTGCTACGGGACAAGTCGGACTTGTTTACAACAGCGGAAGCATGTCCAGCTCCTTCCAAAGCAGCATAGTGGAGAGCGGTGCCACCGTCGTCCGAGCGCTGTTCCAAGCAAGGCCGGCATCCCTGGCTGGCAGTTCATGGACCGCTACAGTTCCAAAGACTCAACGGCGATACAGTCATACTTCTAATCAGATTGCTCCAAAGTTTATGATTGTCATTATTCTTAGTATTGTTCTGATTACTACAGTTATTGTTCTTATTAGTACTATTGTTGTTACCCACCTGGCACGCAAGTAGTAGTAGTAGTAGTAGTAGTAGGAGGAGGAGGAGGAGGAATAGTAAGTAGTAGCAGAGTAGCAGCAGTATTCGTACTTGTGTTCTGACTATGACTGGGCCATGCCTTGGCCGCATCTACCAGGCTGGCCCAAAGCTGTGCCGAGACTGACACGACCGCCACGTGGAGCGCAGTCTCGCAGTGCCGGTTGGTGGCCTCGGTGCCCTGCCCGAAGCCCTTTTTGGAAATGTCAGGCGAGTATAGTACTAATCCTTAACTACTGTACCCCTTGTTAATAGGGCAGTCTGCTCTCCCGCACTCCCGATGAGGCCGCAGCTTGCAGGAGTTCGATGGTGCCTCGCCGGGAGAATTCTTTCCGCATGCCTCCTTGTGTTGGTTCGTACCAGACAAGCAATCACCGGAAACAACGATGTTTGCTCGGCTTTGTCACGCTGAGCGCGAACTGTTATTGGTACTCGGAAGCATTGCGTGAAGTGTTTCGGCACCCAAGCTCTTTCATCGAGATTGTTGGGGGCTTTAACCGTGCGGGTGCTTCCTTGGCAGGTTCTGCTGTGCTCTCTGGCCATGTCTGGCGAACCCTGGGACGTCTGTGTGTGTGTGTACAGCTTTGGCAACAATTCGCTCACTGCTGGGCTTTGGAAGCTTCGGCCAGGAGCTGCAAGACACCGCAAGGCAGGATGGAACTGAGCACAAGCAGATGAACAACACCTATCCATCTACAAGGATAGTACATACATACATACATACATACATACATACATACGTACATACATACATACATACATACATACATACATACATACATACATACATACGCATACATACATACATACATACATACATACATATGTATGTATGTATGCACGTGCGTACGTACGTACGTACGTATGTATGTATGTCTGTATATGTATAGGTATATGCATATGTACGTATGTCTGTGTATGTATGTATGCATGCATGTATGTGTGTAAGTATGTATGCATGTATGTATGTGTATGTATCTATGTATGTCATGCATATGTGCATGTATGTGTGTATGCATGTATGTATGTGTATGTCTATATATGCATGTGTATATATATACACATACAAATGCTTCTATTATATATATATATATAATTATTAGTTATAGCCGATTCCAAATCGTATGCTATTGTATGTATTCTATTTTGGAAAAAAAAAAACGTGCTGCAGCCAACGTATCCAATCTCGCACCATCGGTGTGGTTTCAGGTTTGCCATGTTCGCTTTGCACCATGCTCTGCATGCGCTACTGTACCGGCAGAGCTCGAACATTGCGACAACATCTTATCCTACTTGTGCCATGTGCTGTGCAAAGGGCACCTTGCCAGGACTTTGCAAGAAGCTGCTGTACGGAATTCGCTGCATCGTGCCGGCAACCACAATGCAAGGGCGTGTCGCCTGGTATGTGATGAAGAAACGATCAGCATATCACAAACTGTGGCAGGCTGGAGAGATCCCACGTGAGTCCGCGGCCCTTGTATGTCTTGGCCAGGGCGTCTGCGCGGTATTCGAGCAGGATACCCACCACCTGCGAACATCTTCCTGTGGTGTGGCATGCGCGGACAAACGACGAGAGCAGGAAAGCTGGAGTCTTGTCATGACCTGTTCGCGCTCCGGAACTAAAAACCTAAACACACACTTCGTGGCCCAAACACATCCAAACATAGGCACCGGCAACATACAGTCGATTTTTTATCACCGCATCCAAGACAACTTAGTGTCTGCACGGGCTACGCAGAATTCGATGCAGATTGAAAGCTTCGCAGCTCCGTGGACAAGCGCTCCACCTCTGCTGCAAAAATCCCGCGCTCGGTGCCCATGAAACCTTCCAGCCGCTGGAGGCGCTCAAGCGTCTGCTGCAGGGCCTTTCCGTTTTCAGCCGGCGCAGCATCAACGGTGCCCCGCAGGGCATGGATTTCAGCCTCCTTTTGCAACTGCATCTGCCGTTGAGTCGAAAGCAGATCCTCGAGCTTGCTCTTGCTCTTGAGTGCCTCGTCGCGCTGCAGCGTCCCGTCTGCCAGGTGGCCACGGGCCTCCTCCAGGTCGTGCTGCAAGGACTGCACCTCTGCTCTTAGGGCGTCCGCCTGTGCCGCTACCGCTGCGGCGCTCAAAACGGCGTCGTTGATGGCAACCTGCTGCGAGCTGGCCGCCAGCCGCAGCCTTGAACTCTCTGCCCGTAGCTCTTCCGAGGCAAACTCTTGCATCTCCAGGACATGCGTGGCATCGCTCATCTTTGCACGCAGGACTGCTAGCTCAGAGTGACCGCTTTGGAGCTGAGATCCGGCCAAATCCTCCGTGTGGAGCAAACCTTCCAAGGATTGCTTCAGGCCGTTCACTTCTTCCAAAGAGTTCTCCACCTGCTTAGACATTTCAGAGACTGCCACTTCTTTTCGCTGTCGCTCATCAATGGCCTCCTGATAAGCTCGAAGCACGGTATCCCGCAAAAACTCATGCCCACGTAGCTCCTGCATCATGGGAAGCTGTTGCGAATCTTGCTCCTCGAGCGCATGGACCAAGCGTTCGCGGTGGCTCTTACATCGCTGCAACTGCTCATGGAGGAGCTGGTTCTCTGCGGTCATGTGCATCAGATCATCCAGAGCCAGCGTCACCTCATGCATGCGCTCGGAGAGCTCGCTTTGCGCTGAATGAACCTCCGCCTCCACAGTTCGTATCACATCGCTCGTGGCCGCCGCGGTGGTCGTCGAATTCAGGAGCTCGCCATGTTGGGAAGCTACCCGGTGGCGCAGTCTATCCAAGGTCCACTGGACTTCGCCTCGCTGGGTTCTGACCCGCGCAGCTTCTGCACGCAAGGGTCGAAGCCTGACTTCGGCCGTGTCACTGATCTGCAGAAGCTCCTCCTGGTCCTCCTCCAAGCCAGCAATGGTGCCACGCAGACGACTGGACTCTTCTTCCAACTCCTCGAGACGCATCCGCACCGAGCCAGGCCCGTGCTTTGTAGCAGAGCGACGCTCCTCCTCTGCCAAGCACTCGGCGGAGCACTCGGCCACCTCGGCCTCAATGCTGCGCCGCTGTTCAGCGAGTGCTGCCCGCTGTCGATCTCGCGAAGCCGCAGCCGCCTCAAGGTCACGCAGCACCTCTTCCATGTGGCCTTCCGAATCCGAGACTGCCTTGATCTGGCCCTGCAGTGCTTCCGCATGTGCCAAGGCGGCCTCGCCCTCGCGACGCGCCGCCCAGACGCTGGCCTGGCTCTCGGACTCTTCCCTCACCATCTCGCGAAGGGTGTCTTGGCGCTGTCCCAGCTCAAGCCTCAAAGCTGCAAGCTGCGCCGTGACCTCCGAAGTCGATGCCTCCTGGCTTCGAAGAGTGGATCCCAAACTTGTCATTTGAAGCTGTAAGCGCTTAATACTCGCTTCCTCCGACTGGCATTGGCCTCGGACCTCTTCCAGCTCCTGTGCGGCCCGTGCCAGGGAAGACGATAGATCGCGGCAGCTGTGCTGGGCTTCCGCAAGCTCTGCCTGCTCTGCAGCCAATCGTTGCCCCAGCACCGCGGATGCCGAGGAAATCGCCTCCTCCTTTCGACGCGTCTCTGAGCGCTTGGCCTCTGCTTCTGAGGCCCCTGTCCGTGCCGATTGCAGCTCTTTGGACAGACGAAGCTGTGCCTCCTGCCGTGCCTGCGCCGCCGAGCGCCAGGACGACTCTACCAGCCGTGCAGCCGCCACCTCCTCGGAAGCTGCCAAGCGCTCGCTGGTGGCCGTCTCCAAGTACACCTGCAGAGCGTCGGCCTCGCTTTGAGCGCCCTGGAGCACCTCCGAGAGAAGGCGGCGCTGAGCATCTTCCATCTGAGCCTCGGCGGCAGTCGCCGAAGCAGCACGTTGGGATGCCTCCACCTCCGCCGTTGCAGTGGCGAGAAGACGTCGCTGCACCACGCGGTGTGCCCGAAGCCTTGCAAGCTCTGCTGCCAGGCCGGCACGCTGCGAAGAGCCTTTGGCAGCATGCTGCACAGCGGTCCGATGCGCCGTCTCCAATGAGACAATCTTCTGAGCCGGCCTGCTCTGCTCCGCTGCAGCCAACTCTTCGAGAAGCCGGCTCTGTTGAATGGCGTGCTCTTTGGCTTCTGCTTGACCTCTCGCTTCTTCGGCCTCGAGACTTCCTCGCAGCATGGCCAAAGCCTCACGGATGGCAACCTCCTCGGACTTGGTCTTTGAAAAGCCTCGCCGTGCCTCGTTGAGGTCGCTGGTGAGGCCACCAAATGCCGGATCCGTTCCGAGCTCCAGCCGCGTCGCCGCTTCTTTGGCCACATCCCGCTCTTGCTGCGCTCGTTGCAGGAGGCCTCGTCGTTGCGCTATCAAGGCCTCGGCTGCGTCGGCCTCGGTGCTGAGACGAAGCCCGCGCTGCCTCAGAGCGGTGCACTCGGTTTCCAGCTCGGCCAACTCCGCGGCAGCACGTGCTTCCTCGTCACGCAGCACTTTGACCTCGTCGGTGACATCCTCGGGATTGTCGGAAGGCCCCTCCCGCTCAGCAGCACGCGCTCGGGCCCTGCTGAGTTCCTCTGCAGCGGCTTCTTCTTTGGCCTCTGCAGCTTTCAGCGAACGGACCTCCTCTGTCAGGCGTCGACGGGACTCACCGAGCTGCTCGGCGACGAAAGCCACGTGGCTCGCAAGAGCGGGGGCCTCAGCTCGCGGACCCTCGATGCGACCGACATCCACGTGTCTCGGCCGCGCCCCTGGTGCAGGAGGGGGACCTCTCATCACGATGGTCCTGGACTTTCCACTGCGGTCATCTCTGGAGGTCTTCCTGTTCTCTGCCATCCGAGCTCGGAGACGCTCCACGGAGCCTTGAAGTTCTTGGCTCTGATTTTCCTGCAAATGTTGCAAGCTTCGTAGCCTTCGCAGCTCCTTCTCGTTGCCGGTCTGCCGGGCAGCCCACTGCCGCCGTCTTGCAGCCGTCTCCGTACTTTCCTTGAGCACTCGCTTGTGAAGCTCCACATTTTCACGCAGAAGCTCCGGCTGCTCCTTTTGCAGAACACGGAGCTCGTCTTCCACCTCCTCGATCTGGCGCTCATGACCCTTCACATCGTTCTCCAAGAGGCGGAAGGAATCTGCAGACTTCAGGAGGTCTTCCAGCAACTTCTCGACGAGCGCCAGAGAAACCTCTCCGAGCGGCTGCGTGTAGTTCAAGCGATTCAGCTTTGAGCGGACATCCTCAAAACGAGCAGCATCGGAAGCCGGTGGGCGAGCCATGCTCTGTGTGGTCCCCCAAGTTCGGACTGTAACTGCAAGCATACGGATAGTGTACTTAGTTTCCCAAAAAAAACGGTCTCGCTTCAGGGGTCTTTGGTCCCGCGGCTGCTCGCTAACTTCCCGCGCTGGGGCTACCGCTGCTTGACACACGAGGCTTCTACTCGAAGCCGGGCTTAGGGCTTAGGGTTTCCCGTGTAAACGTAGATGGTCCGTGGGCACGAAATCAACTCGCCAACACTCCGGCAACTAAACTTGAGCCATGCGTGGCCTTGCGACGGGCAGAATGCGCTGGGGTTAACCCCGGCGCGGATGCTATCAATCTGCAAAGGCCTGCTGGGGCACACCGCACCGTACAAGGAAACATCGCTTGACTTCTTGAGGGGTAAAGCGAGTAGACTGAGTAGAGGGTGGGCAGATCTAGGCAGTAGCATGCCACTTCAGGTACGCCTGACATGAGGCGATGGCCTCTCCATGATCGTTCCCTGCTGCGAAATGCAACGGCGTCCAGCGCTCGAGATCGGAATGTCGGAGCAAAAGCCTGGCTATTGAAACCGCTGCAAGCAAGTTTGGTTCGAAGAGGACCGAACCCATCTCTGAGCTGCCTGATATTTGTCTGGCTGGCCTCCAGAATTTCCGCAGCCTGCTTGGCCAAGACGTGTCACATCATGGAACTCTTCTGGTCAATGCAGGCTCAATGCGGCTGACTGCTTTTCATGCTTCGGGCACTGCAGGCAGAACGACGGGCCTTGGAGAGATTCCCGTCCCTCGCCGCATCCAGGAGCTCGTCCAGGTCGTAAGCATCCCCCATGCATCGGCCATGCGACTATCTGCATGTCACATGAACTGATCATCGCGTGCAAGAACAGCTTCACTACAGGCTGCCTCATCCACGAGATTGCAGCTTTACCTTCTACTTCTTTTGGCTGCGGGAGTTGCTCGGAGTCAGCATGTGCGTCTGCAGGTTGCTGCGCTGCTTGCAAGAGACACAAATGGCGGCAGCCTTGCACAGCAGCAGTCTCTTCAAGTCGGAATGCTGAGCCCGGCCTGCATACCCTTGTCGATCTTATCCACTGGAAAAGACATCTTTGAAATCCCCCAGGCAGCATTGCACAGTTCCAGCATCTTGAACCTGCACACAATCGAACCGCAGCAGCAGTGTTGTGACATATGTGTATGACATGTCCGTTGCCTGTCCGCAGTCTTCTCGACACGACTCACCACCATTTCCAAGAGCTTCTCATCTTGCACCTTGCGCAATACAGACGCACAGCTATCATCACTGTCCGTTGAACTGGCCGTCTGGGATCCCCCTGCCGCAAGCTTCCCGAAAGCGTAGAGCAGGTTCGCGCAGCCTCAGCCAAAGGAGCTGAATACTGCAGTTGCATTAGCACATCAACTTGCAGTAGACATTCTGGGTGTCAAAACGATTCTTTTGAGGCTGTGGCACTGCGGATCGAATCTGGCGATCTTTCGTTGAGACTCGGCGGCAATTGCCTGGTGCATGAAGTGGGTCGAGTCTACAAGGCACGGGGGTGGGCATCACACCACACGTCACACCGCAAGACCGCACGCAGAAAGAATGCGGGCTGCCTGGAACATGCTCTCCTCTGTGCGGGCCAAGGTGGCAAAAGCCTGCTCGATCGAGACTTCGAGGTTCATGGCGGGTGGTCCAATCATCAGAATCTGCGATTTGGGTAGTTGTGAAAATTATGGTCCCTTTTGGGGTACCCTAAATAATAGGTGCCGTATTATAATAAGGACCCAAAAAGGGACCACCCATTTGCCCTAATATAGTACCCTAAATTTATGTCGTCCGCATCCTAGCTCC